ATTCGGAAAGTGACGATACAACGGTATGTGGGTTCACCTCCAAACGATACCTCATTTTTATTTATACACCACTGCATTTAGCGAAAAAACGCGAAAAACGAAAAATCGATTTCAACACAAATCTATTTCAACACAAATTTAAAAGTAAAAACTCCCTCAGTTTTCAAGCAATCTAATACAAACTTTACTCAATTGTAGCCAACAATAAGTTGATTGTTTAACAGTCATTTAACTTGATAATTGAGTTCACCTATACTGTGAAAACCCGCGAAAATACCAAAAAATGTCGATTTTTACAGGTTTCTTTCTCATTTTTTCGTTGATTCTTCAACCAATTTTCATCAAATTTAAAAATTGCTTTATAAAAGTATCCGCTTTTACATCCCATAACAAACTGAATTTCAAAAACTCCAAAATTATTGTGGTCTGAATTGGGCCTTCATGTTACCTCTTTTACCCCTTCATGTTCTCGGCTAACTTCGATTGAATAAATACAGGCTACTTCTGTTATATCGGTAACTGCATTAATTCAAAATGTTTTTTTTAATGCAAGTACTTTAAAGTAATTGAACATAGACTCTATTACAGCTAAACGTGATGTTATTATGTTATATATTATAAATTAATTGATTTAAAATATGGTTTTTTTTTCGCTACACAGTTCTAACCATGTTTCAAAAATGGAAGAATTTTAAAAAGTTACTCCAAAATTCGCTTGAGGATGAAATGGAACTAATGTCTTTAATTTAATCACAAAATTAAATTCGGGGATTTTAGCTTCCATTTTTGAAACATGGTTAGAACTGTGTAGCAAAAAAAAACATATTTTAAATCAATTAATTTAAAATAGCACTATTTTGTAAAAATAAAAATATCTATAAGAACACCGGATTATATATCTTGTTGTTCTTTCTTTATATATATATATATATATATATATATATATATATATATATATATATATATATATATATATATATATTATATATATTTATATATATATATTTATATTTATATATTATATATATTGTTTTATATATTGACTTATATATTTATAATTGTTTATATATTTTATATATTGTTTATTGTTTCTTTATATATTATCCTGTTAGCTATCGCTCGTGATCCTTACTTGGACTTTTCGTACAGCGAGGACTCGATACTCAACTTAAAAATAAACATGACTGGGGAGGAATGGTGATTTATTGGGAAATACGCAAATAGCCGAGTGTTTTTTTGTCCTGCATAACACAGATGAATAAAAAAATTAAAACTCTATGGGACTTTGAAAAGAGACCTGTATCTATGCTGATGACCCGGCCATTTAATCCTGTCTCGATAGTAAGTCTGAGCAGTTCGATATGGTCAAATTAGCGGTCATAAACTGGGACTTGTTAATTTTAACACCCCCAAAACAAAATTACTTTCAACCAGTCAACCGAGAGACTCCTTTCTCCTTCTTCTCGAGCTAACATTCTTAGCTTACATAAAGTAAAAAGACTATATTGAATCCATTGCTAGGTCAGCTGTTAGGAAAGTTGGTTTACTGTGCCGTGCTGTACAATCCTATATATTTATAAGTCTACCATTCGTCTATGCTTAGAGTATTGATATTGCTACTACATATAGCTCAGTGCTCCTGATATATATTTAGATTTTTGATAAAATCCAAAGAAGAATCAGCAATATTATTGGTCGTGACCTGACATCTCCGCTTCAGTGATTTTTCCCACCGCCATAAAGTTACCTGCCTATGTCTTTTCTATAAATACTTTCAATGTAATTGTTCGCATATGGTCTTCGCTATGGTACCTAGACTTTATGAATTTAAGCGCAGTACTACACTGACAACAAGAACTCATCAATTTACCATTGAATTGGCTAGATGTGACCATAAGTTCTATGCTAACAGCTTCTTTTGTCGTACTTCTCGCTTATGGAACTCTTATCCGGCGTCATTCTTTATGCTGCCAACTTTGTTCTTCAAAAATTTAAAGGCAATATCAATCGTTATTTACTGAATCAGCAATCTGCTTCAGTCAATTTCCCATCGCGATAAGGTGACTTCCCTGTACCTGTTCTATCAATGCTTTCATGGTAATTGCACGGCTTTAGACTTTATGAATTTAAGCGCAGTACTAGATTGGCGGTTAGGTCTCATCAAGTCAACTTTGAATTTGTTAGATGTAACCTTAAGTTCTATGCTAACAGTTTCTTTTGGCGCACTTATCACTTGTGGATCTCATTTAGTGGATACTTATAATTGAGTAGACGGTCTGTTTATTTGTTAAAGGCTATATTTATTTATTTTCGTCTACCGGCCTGAATACTCGAGAAAATACGCGCTCTCAATAAGATTTCTCGAATATATATATATATATATATATATGTGTGTGTGTATATATTATATTTTTTTTAAGCATTACGCCCCGAGCAAGGCGTGAAGCCACTAGGATGCAGGGGGTTGCAGAAGATTTGGAGCGAGAGCAGATAGGAGTGATAGAAGAAAGGATGAGGAGAGGGATAGTGGATAGATCAGGGTAACTGGAGGTGTCGATTGACATTACATTTGAATAGTTGGAGATTATAGCTTTCAGGGAAACAGTAATTGGGAAGGGTGTTCCACACGCGAGAGGTGCGAGGTATGAAGCTATTGGAGTAGAAGGGACGGCTACATTTAAAAGTTTTGACAGTGTAATGGTGAGAGCGGGATGCCAGCCTCGTAGGGCCCTTGAATTCATGGAGTCTGGGAACCAGTGAAAGCAGCTCATCGGAGCAATTACCATGAAAGTATTTGTAGAAAAGACAGAGAGAGGCGACGGCGCGTCTGTGAGAGAGCGACTGCAGACGAGACGCCAGATCAGGGCCAATTATATTACATATCCGTCTCTAGATCTTGTCAAGAACTCCGAGGTAAACATAAGGTACCCCAGACCATATATGGCAGCAATACTCTATGCAAGGGTGAATGGTTGATTTGTATATTTGAAGTATCGATTCCGGGGAGAAAAATTTCCTGGCGCGGCACAGACAGCCAACTTTCCTCGCGGTGGAAGAAGCAATTGACTCAATGTATTTGTTGGAAGAAGCAATTGAATCAATATATATATATATATGTGTGTGTGTGTGTGTGTGTGTGTGTGTGTGTGTGTACTAGTTCTCATCCGTGAAAAATTTCCGAATACATTAGAATTATTACAAATGATTTTTAGATTTTTATGAAATAGACAAAACAAATGCCAGATGTTATTTTCAAAGAATTTAGAAGATAAAAAAAAGATCTTTACTAAAATTTTCTTAAATAAATATTTATTTTTAAAACTTGAAAGTGCTATATATTTTTATTCTTTATATATCTACATTCTTTATATTATTACAACTTGTGGCAATTTTGGCTAAGTATAGATAGATAGATAATGAACATGAGATAGATAGATAGATAGATAGATAGATAGATAGATAGATAGATAGATAGATAGATCTATCTATCTATCTAGATTACGGTGGATCTGGGAACAACAGCATTTAAGAGGTGATTCCAAACGCCTCAAAACCTCCAAAGCCTTATTACCGGATGTAGTTTATCGCCATACCCAGGAAACTGACTTTGGCTTTTATATGTCATTCCTGTTATTTTGTCAAGTTCAAGATATACAGTGGGCGTCTATAACTTGTCAATTTATTTCAAGGATCGAGTAAGTATAAAGTCAAATTGGCTTACCCAAGTCAGTGCGTCTTATTTGAAGCAAGGATGACTAAGAAAGATAAACTCCAACATTATCCATTATGGTGAAAGGTCCACCATGGTGAGATCTTTGGCCTATACAAGACCAGGTCCTCCCCTCTCAAATGACATTAAAATTAAAACGCTTATTTTTTTTAAAGCAAGTAAATGCTTCAAGGATTTTACATATTGATTAACACCGCGAAAAATGGAATCGGCGAATCGCGTTCAAATTCAGGTTGAGGTAGCTCGTGCTCAGTGTTGCACCCAATACCCTTGAACACTTCCTACAACTTTTCAGGTCATGGGTTACTTCCCTTTCTTCTTAGTTTAAGAATCATTATTACTATTATTAATCATTATTATTGATTTGAAACTTTTCCTTTTATCTTACACCTGTTGCTTATTTATACGTAGTACTAATAAGACGTCTGGATTTCTTAAATGACTCAAGCTGTCTACAGGTAAGTAATGTTACGTTAAGATGAATATGAGATCAATCCATTGAAACACAGCGATATATCTATTTTCATCAGCAGCCTAAGAATAGAAAAAAAAATAAGGCATTAACAAGTAGCACTACGTATAGCCATTGCGCCAGTAGTTAATAGAGCACCAGTATATATTGTCTATATTCAGTAGGCCATTGACATAAATTTCTGCGTTATTTAAAAAACAACGACTTTTTCTGTTTCAGGAGGAAGAAATACAATCGATTGAGTTGAACCGGATATACATTCAAAATCTATTTCACAAAAGTAGTTAATAACTACATAAAAAGATATTTTAGCGGGAGAAATTTTAGAACTGTCATTATTATTTTAATTTACTTGTCTTTCTTTCATCTTATTTCTCTTGCTTGTTTACACCAAGTTGTAAGAAGACGTAATAATTTGAATTTCTTAAATGGAGCATTTATTACTAATTTTTGACTCGTCTTTCTTTCATGTAATCTTCTTGCTGATTTACACCTAGTCGTAAGACGTAATTGTCTTAATATATCTGAACTTATTGAACGAGGCAGTGTCTATTATTATTTTTTGGCAATTTCAGATAAAAAACAGCAACAGAAATTAAAACACCAGGAACATTAATCAGAGATTGATGATAATTTTATTCTTCCAAAATCGTATTCAGTTGGAATTCGTGCAAATATGTGTAAAGTGAATGACAGAGATGCGCGTTACACATTTGATGTTTGACGGCCGATAAGCAGCCTGGTCTCGCTTCATTCAGGAAACGCCCACTAAAATGTTCTAATACTGGATGATAGTTCATGCGACGTCACTGTCAGCTGTTTGCAGATTGTCGCTGGGTCGGAAAATGGGTAAACTGCAAATGAGTTTACATGAGTCAAGCTAAATAAACAGAAAGAAGTAATATCTATCTATCTATCTATCTATCTATCTATCTATCTATCTATCTATCCTAATCCATTCATAGCCAGCTATCTAACTTCCTTATATATGTCTGTTTCTATCTATCTAGCTATCTATCTAGCTATCTATCTATCTAGCTAGCTAGTTATTTCAGTCTATTTCATTCTCTTCGTATCTGTCTATCCCAGTCCATTCATAGCTATCTTAACCTTCATATATACGTTTGTTTATATCTATTTCAGTCTATTCATATCTATCCCAGTCTATCTATCTATCTATCTATCTATCTATCCCAGTCTATTCGTATCTATCTATCTATCTATCTATCTATCCCAGTCTATTCGTATCTATCTATCTATCTATCTATCTATCTATCTATCTATCTATCTATCCCAGTCTATTCGTATCTATCTATCTATCTATCTATCCCAGTCTATTCGTATCTATCTATCTATCTATCTATCTATCTATCTATCCCAGTCTATTCGTATCTATCTATCTATCTATCTATCTATCTATCTATCTATCTATCTATCTATCTATCCCAGTCTATTCTCATCTATCTATCTATCTATCTATCTATCTATCTATCTATCTATCTATCTATCTATCTATATGCACTGTTGTTGCCAACTAACTCGGTACCAAACACACCCTTCTCGTACCAGCCCATCCATGAATCCATTTTATCTAAAAAGCCTTTCTTCGTTTCCCACCGTCTTTGAAAGATATTCTACTTAATTAGAATCATTGGAATTAGCCTAATGACATCATCTGCCTTACCATTGCCTTGGGGTTACAAACTGGTGATAAAAGATCCGTTGAGACCGTCACACGGATAACATTACATTGATGACAAATACGGAGTATTTTCCCTTCTAAGAAGCGGAATGTAGGCGGACACACTCCTATGGGTACGCATGAATGCAAGTTGAGAATTTTGAATACTCAATGAAGACATATATGTATATTCATATGTGCGAGCATTCTCTTGCTCTCTCTCTCTCTCTCTCTCTCTCTCTATATATATATATATATATATATATATATATCAAATATGTGGTGCAGTTCAATTTATATTACAATGAATCATTCATACAAAAAGTAGATTAGTAAAGTTAATGAGTGATTTGTAGGGTAATGCCCCTTTAAAATTTTGTTTGTGAAGGGATTTCTCCATTTTATATCATTAACTTTACTAACATATATATATATCATTTGGACGCCCAATGAAGAAGTGCTTAGAAAGCTAATATTCGAATTGTCATTTTTGGCACAAATTTTTACTTTTCTCAAAAAATAATGATCTGCTATCATTGCCTCCTAAGAGCTTTTAATAGATAAAACTTACCATATTCTATCTATATCACACCAAAATCCTATGTCTTTAAAGTTTACTAATCTACTTTTTGTATGAATGATTCATTGTAATATAAATTGAACTGCACCACATATTTGATTTAAAAGAACTGATTCGACGTGCAAATTTTCGGGATAACAACTGAGACATTACTATATTTATTGAACAATTTAGTTCATGCCACATTGACTGATAAACTCCTACAGCAAAAAAAACTTCTCAAATTGCCATATCAGTAAAAAAAGCACTCTCTTAAATTTTCAAAAAATTCAACCTTAGCGTTGCGACTGCACGATCCAAAAGGTTGTATCCATTATCAATAACACATTTCAGAAAAAAAAACATGTTTCACTTCGCATTATATTTTTCGTCTCGGATGCTACCTGAATTTTACCAAAAACAAAACAATTTCCATGCCTGAAGATGACTGAATGTGCAGTCGAAAGTACTTGCGTATTAAAGAAAGACCTTATACAGCTTATAATTTTTAAAAACAAGGATCATAACATTCATTCAGTGATTTGTAGGTTAATGCATCTTTAAAATTTTGTTAGCGAAAGGATTTCGACATTTTATATCATTAACTTTATTCATCTACTTTTTGTATGAATGATTCATTGTAATATATATATATATATGTGTGTGTGTGTGTGTGTGTGTCTAAATAAATGATAGATATGTATTGACTGCATATATACCTATACGCATATGTAATAATTTATTTGCTAAAATACACTAGTGCTGAAAAAATCTTAGCTTGACCCACTTCTCAAAATCAGTATTTTGGTGAATATAAGAATACAGATTTTATGAAGTGGGCCGACTCGGGAACTTTTCAACATCTTCTCGTTATATGTACATACCTGCCTATATATGTATCTATCTATCTATGTTGTTCTTTTCATATCTATATCAATCTATTCATTTTATATCTATCTCATTCTGTTCACATCTTTATCACTCTATTCATGATCTATCTATCTATCTATCTATCTATCTATCTATCTATCTATTTCATTCTGTTCAGATCTAACTCAGTCTATTCATTAACTATCTATCTATTTGTTGTGGCATACCTACGACGATAATGGGTATGACCCCCTTTCATAAAAATACAGTAGTAAATACTGTATATTGGTTTGCAGCTGTGCCGATCAAACTCTCTGCCTCCGGGCAGAGAGAATCCCCAGACGGAGCTATGTCAAACGGCAGAGTCTCATCTCGGGAAACAGCCACTCGGTCCCGTTTTATACAGCGTCTACCGGAAATATTTAGCCGAGTCTATGGGCTCAGATATCCCACATTAAATTCGGCCCTGTGCCACATTGGTAGATGTCCTGCAGTTAGAGATTGATTGTGGAATTCACTTGACTCACTTCTAGCAGGTGACTGCTTTTCTACGCGCCGCTGGCGAATCTTATATGTGTTGTTCTTGTCCTAAGTATTATCGTTCATTACAAACATTCGTTTGATTATTCTATTCAGTAACCTTCACTAGGTTACAACACTTTCTATGTATCTATTTATCTGGTTTACGGTCATATATTGCAACATCGGTTCCTGTACGATCATAAAAATTAATCAACATCGAATCTGGTCATTACCGAGATAAGTGACCACTTGGTAATACCATTAGCTTCGATGTAAGGGAGGTGTCATGAACAACGGCTCAAAAATGGAGATACGAGAGCCGATTTCCAATTCCAGTCATGACTTTTACATTCACTTACGCGAAAATACTCTTGGAAATGAAACCACCTTTCCCCCTTACAACCATGGATTAATTAGTGGGAATTATATCAGTAAATTATTATTATTTAAAAAAAAATCTGACAATCTAAACTATTTTCTGGCTTTAAATAACAAAATTATTGTATACTCCAAAATTGTATTACATACATACATACATATAGTCTTGCGGAACCTACCCACGGATTTTTATCAACATATATATATATATATATATATATATATATATATATATATATATATATATATATTATATTATATATATATATATAATTATATATATATATATATATATATATATATATATATAATTATTTCTTTGAAAATATGTTTCCATAGTGACACAGAAATTGCGATGTTTCGAAACTTTACTCAAATCCTAAAGCTTAATTTTAATATTAAAATTTAGAGTACAGTTTCATTCTCCATCGATGTTTAGAATAACTAACTGAAGAAATGTTTTACTCATTTATACGTTGGAAATGGAGGTGTAATCTGGGTTTTTTCCTTCGCTATAAAGGGGTCACTACTGTGATGAAAGTCTGAATGTTTATTATATGTCAATTTTTTTGAGTCGTGTAAGGTTCGGTTGGGGGATTTTTCTCTGGCCACAATGGCCTTTCCCCCCCCAGGTTCTGTTGTTTTTATTATTATTTGTTAAAACTTACTGACTGATGATCTAGTTACAGTCTTTTTGGTGTTAATTTATTTATTTTTTTCGTTGATGGTTTCTTAAAGAGGTGCTTAGATATGCTTGGTTGTATTTTTAATTCTATAGTTTTACACACACACACACACACACACACACACACACACACACACACATATATATATATATATATATATATATATAAAGTGCAGGTTATGATGGAATGAGGAAAGCAGTAGAAAAGTCCAAGCTGTACAAATCGAATGTCACAAAGGAAGTAGGGATGAAGGCTGACAATCATAGAGTAATATCATCATACTGCTAACTGATAAGGGTCACACTTCAATGATGATAGGCAAGTTGAAATACTCCGAGAAATTGTCAAGCTTACTTGGGGATGTTAGGTATAACATGGTTAAAATATATCCTACCCTTAAACCCCCCAAAATCTGTCACAGATCCTAGATATGAAGAAGGAATACTTCGCAATGAATACATATAGACACAGTTGCAGGGAAATGGCATTCCACCCGCTTAGCTGATTCCTGGTCGAGAGAAACAACTCACTAATCGCTCCAAGGGACTCCCATCCATAGCAATTGAATGTTAAGCATGGGTATATGAGCGTCTTCCCCAGTTTTCCAACAGATGAGACTCTATCGGTGGCTCGACAGAGATTAAAATCAGATCTCTTCCTTGGAGAATGTACAAGCATCCTGATAGATTGTCTGATGAAAATGCTGATGTTTTATACATAGAACGTCAAAAATTCAATCACATTATCTATCAACAGTCTTCCAGTATTCTTCTAACATTCTTCCAACTAAAGTCTGACCAACTGGAGGAAAGATTGGCTATGGGTTCACCGTTGTTACCAGTGATGGCGAATATATACATGGGATATCTCAAGGAAATGTCTTTAAGAACGGTACCATTAAAGATGGTTGAGATACGTTGGCGTCACTAGAAAGCTATGAAAATTCTGCTGGACCACGTGAACTCAGTAAGCCCTTCGACCTAGTTTACGGCGGAAGAAGATAATAATGCACCGATAGCTCGCACAGAGAATAGGTTGAAGGCATATGTATATCACAAGCCAATTTTCAGCAGACAATACCTTTTCAATTCCATACAGTGTAAATAAACAAATCGTCCGATGCCTACACCGTGCAAAAATCATGTGGCGACCCAGACACATACTAAGAGGAAATAAACAGTATCGAACGTACCTTTCAGAACAACAACTACTCAGTCGATATAACATCAACTTATGCAGTCAGAAACAGACAGTTCAAAGGGGAGCGCCTGGAAGCTACCCCAATCCGTGGTCCTTACACAAAGGGCTTATCCATAAAGATTCAGAAGGTCTGCATTTCATCCAGCACCAGGACAATATTCAGAAGCAGCGTCACCTTACAGAAAAATATCTGCCGAGTCAAGTCTAACCCAGAACAGGGCATGACCAAGAACCGTGTGCATTCTGTCCCTTTCAGTTGCAGCAAAGAATATGTTGTAACCAAGTATATGGTTAAGAAATAACAAAACAAGAGGTTGCAGATAAAGCGTGTATTGAACAGAAGAGTATTACACGACTTGGGAGTGTGTGTCGGTTGACCAGCGTTCAATCTATACTACCGTTCCCTTGAGGCTTTTTTTTTAAGCGTTTTACTCCAAGCAAGGCGGGAAGCCACTAGGACGCAAGGGGTTACAGAAAATTTGGAGCAAGATCAGATAGGAGTGATAGAATAAAGGATGAGGAGAAGGGTAGTGGATAGATCAAGGCAACTGGAGATACAGAGGCCAGTGAGAGAGAGAGAGAGAGAGAGAGAGAGAGAGAGAGAGAGAGAGAGAGTACCGGGAACCCCTTCCTAAACAAGAAACAAGGCGTAAGCCTCTACCATGTCCAAGAGAAGGGGAGGAGGTGGGACCGGGCGGTAGGAAAGCCTACCTACTACTATTACATATAACACATACAACAACAACAAAAACAGAGGGAACGATGAGAGGGGGAGGTAACTTGCAAAGAGTCCTGGCTGACACTTACATTTACCCTTTCGTAACATTAAGTTTTAAGTTTTAACTTAGTATAATTCCCATTGCCGATTCTAAAAAGAAATTGAAGAAAATAGGGTTATACGGATTTATTGCTATGTCATAATAAATGCCCCAACATACGTGGCAGCGAGTGTTAGTCCGCTTTCTTCCTCATGATAACAAGTGAATGTACAGCTTACCTTAAGTCCAAGCATCGACCCGGTGGGGTGGGGGGATCAACGGCCAATCCACTGCCCTCACCAAATAGTGAGCTTGGGAGGCATGCTTTCAATAAAAATTAAGACCAACAGGAGAAAGAATGGTGGCGAAAACAATTCCAAGTTCAGAAATTTTATCAAGCAAGAAGAGTCGGCCACTAAATCATGAGAATACTGACGAAACACTTTCGCATCGAGCCAAAGACATTCAATTTTCCCCTTTTTCTGATTTTTCTTTCGAAACGGGACCATCAGATAGGTTAGAATGATTAGGACAAAATGTGTTACTATGGACAAACACTGACGAGTAGGGGGAGAAAAAAATAAAAAAAATTTTTTTTATAGTAATTGGAAGAATCTACAATAGACTCATTAATGAGAGGACATCACAGCAAAATATAAAGGAGGAACTAGCCGTCCCCTAAAAGCAAGGCTGGTAGAAAAATATAATTAAGCGTGAAACAATGAAATCAAGCATGGCTGATCATGTATGGCGAGAAAAGTGTAGTCATCAGCCCCTGTAGAATGATAGTACTGGACAGAGAGAAACACTGGAGAGTCAGACGTCTGAAAGAATCAGTGCATATGCTATGCTATGAAGATCTCCTTAGTAGGCCTAGCATAGAAATAAATACGATATGGGAGAGTTGTTATTAAAGAAAGAAAGAGAAATGACGAGGTACCAGCAGCAGGAGAATCGGTAGGAAAGAGAACCACCAGTAAGGGCAGTCAAGCGTGACAGAAGTATGCAGGTTGTTTTTGAGAATTATCTAAGAATTATCCCACGAGGCAAAAGATTAGCGGATTAAGGCGCTTGGTTCGTTAATTTGCAGATGTAGGTTAAATAAATTGTTCAGTTGGAAATTCCTTGAAGGTTACCCAGATCAGAAGGCACCTGGTAAAAGCCGGAGAGTAGAACGGCCAAAATAACAACAATGAAGATAAGGAAAATAGATTTCATGTAATTAATGTAAATAATAAGCAAGTGTACATTGCCAATCTTGTTTAAAGAAACATTTATTAAAGAATAACTGTCACCCAAATACACACACGCGTACACCACA